CACAGGGGAGGCCTGGGCTCTCCCCCCCTCCCTCCCCCGCCGCTTCTCCGCCAGCACCTCGGATGGGCCGCAGCGGGGGTGTTTGCGCTTCTGTTCGCGGCACAGAAGGAAGAAGCTCGGACAGCGCGGAGGGGCTGGAGGAAGGAGGTTGTGCGGCGGCCGGCGGTGGCGCTTTTGGCGCCGGCGGAGGCTTTGCGGGTGGCACAGGCGGAGGCGGGCAGTCTCTGCTTTCCTGCCGCTTTCCCGTTGGCAAAGCCCGCGCGCCCAGCTCCATGGGTGACGGGCGCTCAAACTTTTCTGGAGAGGGAGATCTCTGGTTCGCAAACTGCTCCTGCCCGCGGTTAAAGTTCTGTAAGGGTCCAGGCAGAGCAGCGGGAGCGCTACGCTGCTCATCTACGGTCTTATCTCCCAGTTTCTCATCTTGTACAAAGGAGGCACCTCCGGCATCTAAGTTTTTCATCCCGGTTTCACTGTCCTCAGACTGGCTCCGTTTCAGCGCTTTAAAAAGCACTCCCCAGGTGGCTGCCAGGCTACACACGCTGATATCTCCGTTAATGAATTCCGACCATAAATGGTTCTCTATTGACAGCCAAAGTTCGAGATCAAAGGCATTGTCCATAGTTATATCAAAACCTTGCTCTTTAACCCACTGAAATAAAGCACGCATGGCATCTTCAGAAACACTGAGTCCCATGCGGGGCAGGGCATCCTGCCATGCAAGGTAGGCAAGCTGTTCATCAGCTGAAGTACAGTTCCCCATTATGAGGACTTTATCTTGGCGGCTCCGCGAATGCAATTATGCACACGCTATCGGCTCAGACCCGGGATTTTGAGCTCTGCTTCACCAAGATAGGCCGTTCCAAGCCCGCTCACCGGCAGGGCTCCACTATCCCGTTGGTTTCCAGAACCAGCTTCCTCTTGGAAAGCCCTGGAGAATTCCACTTACCCCTCTAGGGGGAAGGGCTGGCTTTTTCCCGCTCGCTGCTTACCCTCAGGGGATTAGCAGATCACGTCGGTTGCTTTCTGACCTCGGGGGTCGGCTGCAGTTTATGTCGGGTTACCGGACCTCAGGGGTCGGTTCAACTTCACGTCGGCGGTCACCAGATGTCGTTCCCATTGGGAACGGAAAGAAAGAACGACACGGGACTCTCAGGGGAGTCACAACACGAGAATTCCTTAGTTTATTGCTTCAGGCCTGTCTTATAGACAGATACGTGGGAAGTACAGAAAGGAAACTCTTATTGGTTAACAAAGTGCTACATCACCATCATTGGTCAGGGGCACTCTACCCCTCTGACTCCCTCCTGCAAGGGAAAACAAGAGACTGCAAGGCTGTTTAGTGTCCCTGAGAATTGTTTTAATTCCTTCTCATATTTTTCCCAGGATACTTTCTCAGGCAGCCGGAGGAGCCATGCGGCCTGCAATTTGTACAGGCACTGTGGTTCAGATTTAGCATCCATACAGACATCTCTTCCAGGGATGTTGCACAGGGACTGCAAAGAGCTTGGAGAGTGACAAGACACCAACCCAGAGGTCCTCTGGCCCCTGTGCAGCTTTGGCCATTGTCCTCTAACATTTGGCACCCAGGGTCTTACCCGACACCCTTGCAGTGCCCAGTTGTCAAAAGTAGAAGGGGATCTCAGCACACCATGGCAGGGTTCTGATCTGGGCTCCCTCCTAGATTGGAATCACAACTTGCATTATCCAGAGGCCCTGCTGGATGATGGCTTGAAACACTTGAGAAATGCTGGACGTAAGTTCTCAATGGTCCTTTCCTGGCAGAATAAGCAGTTTCAATGTCCTGGCACCACTGCAGGTGTCAGAACAGAGACATACACATGTGTGCCCTTGCCCTTCGCTATCCCCTCACCTCTCCCGTGGCTCAGTGCTGCCTGTGCAGATGAGCAGACGTGACAGAAGCTTCTGTGGTTGTTGAGTTACAGGTGTGTCTGCAGGCAGGACTTTCCCAGCTCCTGGGTTGGTAACTGTACGCAAGCCCGGCTCCCATCGCAGGGGTGAGTGGTGTGTCCCTCCTGACCCCACAGGCTGAGCACTGGTTTTCTGGGATCCATTCCTGCAAAGGGGAACTGTTTTCTCTTAAGGTCCTCCAAGTGGAAAGAACAAAGCTGCAGGACACCAGAAACTCCATGTGCCATCAAAACCCATGAAACAAATGCTGAA